TGTATGTTTCAGTTAATTTGGTTATATTAATGCGTTTTGTATATAACTGGTCACAGATGGTTAAAAAGGTTTACTTTGACTCCCATTGTGGGAAGGGTCAACTGGTGATTAATTAGGTCAAACAGCTCAAGACAGTTGAAGCAAAGGGTGAATGCTGTGTATACACTTTCTATATCACATAAACAGGATGTGTCCTTCATCTAAGTGATGTCTGCAGGTTAGCACCTATACTTTGCGACATGCACAGAAGGCACTGTTTATGGCCAACGAGGAACAAGGGTTATTAAGGGTAAGCGATTGCCCAAGAGAAATTAGATAAAATGAACAAGGCCAGAGAAGGACACTAACTTTGCTAAGTGCTAAGCACTGGCCTACGCTGTGTCAAGTGCCTCCTGTATATTATCTCATTTAAGCCTTGCAAGAAACTGCAAGACAGGCACCATTCCCCCTTTTCACAAATGAAATGCCTGAGGTCAAAGAAAAATTTATGCAAATGGCCACCTAAAGGCTTCTGAAATATCAAAACAAAACAAAACTCTATTCATTAATTCTACAAGCAAATACCATCATTAAGTTGTTGAAAAATAGATTTAATCATCTAAATTTGATCCTAAGAAAGATATTACAATGTTTAATAAGTTTTCCTCCATTTAAGATGTTATTACTGTATTTTAAAAGAAAAATTTGTACTTGGAAGAAAGCAGTATGAATTTATGGATTCTGATGATCAAATCTTACTGCATAGATTTGGGGGGTCTTTACCTTTGGATTCATGCATCCACTTTCAAATAAAGTGACTATCTCAGAAGGATACATTTCAGTGAGCGACATCAGTTGAAGTTGGACAAGGCCTCAGGCTGCTTTCCTACAAATTTGCCATGAACAGGAAGCCAAAATTTAAGATCTGATCTAAACGGTCCTGCTGTGTCACGGGTGACAAACTCACAAGTTGGTCCTATAATGTTCCTACAGAATATAGTTAGTCAAGCTCTGAATAAAAAACATTGTCAGGGAGGAAGGTAAAAGTTATGTTACTTATGACAGTTAAGTAGATTAATTTAAATTTTTAATTTTTATTGGCCATATACACGTTTCTATTCCAAATCTTGTTCTATGAAAATAAAAATGTAGTAGAAAATACATGCCCCCAAAATATATAAACTGTTTAAACAAAATTGTGCAGTTCCTTCAAATCTTAATTTATGCTCAAAGCTCAGAGATGAATTAAGTAGGCAATTTCTCACTCTGTTGTTTTTTGTTTTTGTTTTTGTTTTTTTGATGCAATAGAAACACCAAATGGTAACAACGTGCTGAAGATTTGAGTTAGTTATATTACCTGGCATCTTACAAAATAAAATGCTAGGTCATGAGTAAAATATGTTTAAATGTCATCATCTTAGATCCTTTAAATTTGTAATATTAATATACAACCTAGTTGAAACTTACTATTCTGACACTCCATCTCTGCCAATAACTTGTTTGCCCAAATTTTCCTCGGTTGCGCTCTCTCTCTCTCTCTCTCTCTCTCACACACACACACACACACACACACACTCCCTCTTTCTGTATGTGTACACTTATTTTTGGGAAGAAATCCTACAAATTGCCCAATATATCAACTTTCCAATAATGGAATTGGGAGAAATGCTGTCAATATGCTAGGAGATAATTTGTAGGATTATTGCTGGCTCTTTTTTCTGCCATTCTTTGTCTCAGTGTATACTTAGTAGTTTTCTTTTTCAAGCCAACTCCAGAAATCTGAAAGTCTTGGACACAATTTAGAATTACCTCTTTGCTCTGTTGACAGGGAATTATGAAATTCATAAACAGACATGCTGGAGTAAATCAAGATATAGATAATAAATTTGCAAATGAGATTTTTGAAAATGTATTTGCAAATACATTCAAATAAAATTCAGATAAAAATAGTTTTGTAAGAATTTATTATGGTCTAAAATTACACGACTTGATACAAATTGTCTTGAAATTCCAATTTTTATTAACTTCTTACAAGAAAGTACAATAAAAACACCAGTCATAATTTTCAAGGCCAGGCATTTGAATCTATTAAATATTTCACTTTGCAAATTCTACCTAATGTCTATTTGAAATTATGTGCCATTGTGCACATTCTTTGACTAATTATAAATAGTCCATTTAAAATAAAAACCTCCTGCTATGCATAAACAGTAACAATATGATGAATTCTTAGATTGTTTTTGGTATAAAGACATTATTAAATACTATATCTGTATTGCTATTATATCAAATAACATGAAAGCTAGTTACCAATCTATTAACTACACATAACAGAGAAAGAGAGACTATAATAGTTGAATGGATTGAGACAAGACTATCTCATACAAATAATTATACACCTAATAAGAAATATAAAACACCTCCATTAATCACAAACTACAGCACCACCCTGTCACAGTAAAGTAGAAAACTGACCCAGGTATCCAATTCTAGACTTTCTGATCAAAAAGGGGCATATTTGAGCTCGGAATGTAAGGGCATTTGTTTTGATGTGTTCACTTGGATTTTCTGAACTGCCTCAATTGCTGATTCCACCCTGCTATTGTGTGGGTCAAATAATCCCTGGTCACAAAAATACCCTGGGGAATGACTCCCCTGGCGTCCAGGTTATGAGTGTGGTCAGTCATTCCACATGCCTTAGGCATGAGCTATCTTTGCCATGATGGGAGATTTCCTTCTCAAGTTTTATAATCCTCAAATAAAAAATACTATCATTAGTAAAAGTCAAAGTAACTAAGAAAATGTAAATTGAAATCTTATTCAAGATAGCACTGAAATTTGGGTTTATCTTCTCTCACTGTCTTTAAAAAAAAAAAAATTACTGACTTAGAACAGAAGTAATTTTACAACATACTCTTATAATTGTAAAAATCTACTACATTGATTTCTTCAATGTGAACCATAACCAGACATTTAAAAACATACTTTTGCTATGTACACACTGGATATGCCAGCTTTATTCTCCTTTTGCATGGTTCATTGTATTATAAAACAATTTAGGAGGAGGAGGAAAAAATAAATAAAAAAGCCATTCTGTAAACCTTTTCCTTTTTAATTTTGTCACCAATCTCTCCTGTTTTGGAGAGTGAGATCATATGCCTTAAGCAGTGTAACTCATTTTATGTCAGTGGCCTTCCAATACTTCAGAATATTCTCGACTTTCCGTAAGCAGAGGCACAGCTCACGGAGTGTGGCTAAATCAGTCCCGGTCTGCTGCTCTGCGTGAACCTGGGGTCCAGGCATCTCCCGCATTCCTGGCGCTCCCCGAGGTCCTGCCTCGGCGTCTTGCAGACCATCGGTTGGGAAATGCCGCCTGGCGCGGTTCCAGCGAGCGCGCAGTCTCTTCAAGGATAACGGAGTCAGAGAACCTGCCTTCCCGGCTTTTCCTTCCCATCCTTTGCTCGTAGGATTTTACAAGGCGCCTGCAAGGGAGTCAGTCCTGGGTCAGGCACACAAACGTGTTCTTTCCAGCTACCGTAACCGGATCGCTGAGTGAAATAAATGGCAGGAGCGTCCAGACACCGCGGCCAGAGCTCCAGCCTGCGCCGAAAGCAACTTCTAAGTGAGGCCGCGAGAGCGCCGGGACGCAGGTTTTAGCTCAGGGGCTGAGCACAGAGACGACACCCCTGTCCCGCCCCTCCTACACTGCAAAACGCAAGGAGGGGGCAAGGAGGACGAGGCGAGGGGCGTCAGCATTTTTGCACATTGGCGCCCGTTACCAAGCCCTGTAGCTTTAGGAGACGGCAGGGTGAGATGGAAGGGCCCGGAGCTACGGTTGCAGCGACAGACCAGGGAGCAGGGTGGGGGCCCCTTCGCCCACCTCCACCCTCCTCACCCCAGCAGCTGTCCAGCTCTTGGAATTCATTGGCTTCCCCCACCCCGCCTCCCAAATACCACTCCAATCCAGTTTAGCCCCCCGCCCCACCCTCGCTGACCTAATAAGGCCATGCAGTGTGTGGGGGGGACCTATAAAAAGGGCGCGGGCTGGCGGGGACTCTGCACGACGCCGGGCAAGAAAAGGCAGGAGCCATCCAGCGCCCAGAAAGACGGCGATGGCCAAGGAGTGGGGCTACGCCGACCACAATGGTGAGTGCCTGCAGCCGCGGCCCCGACCCAGACACTGCCGGAGGAGCCCCTAGCGTTGCACAGAAAATGGGCAGCTCCGGGGAGTGCGGTGGAAATCGAGAACTTTTACTGGGCAGTTTTGACGTGCCAGATGCTGCTGGTCCTTTTACGTTCATCTCATCTGGTCTTGGTTAGTTCTCCCTAGTATGGAGTTGTAACTGTTTCCCTTGGAGGAAACGAAAGTGCAGAGAAATTTGGTAGCTTGGGTAAGACCACATTGCCTCTGACTGAGGTCAGACAGCCGGAGGTCCAGGTCTCATTATCCCTTACTCTGTGATACTGGGCAAGCACTTAACCTGAGCCTGGTGTCATATAAGAATCCCTGCTTTGCCTACCACTTCTGCCTTATCCACCGGGAAAGGAGTATGGGTGTGCTCTGAAAAACTAGAGGGATGCACAAATGTATGAGGTCAATGCTGCTTTTTTTGTTTTTGTTTTTGACAACTGGCCGGAATGGGGATCAGAACTCTTGATCCTGGTGCTTGGTTTTATCAGCACAGCTGCTCTAACCAACTGAGCTAACCAGCCAGCCCCTTTGATGGAAGGTGGCATTGGTAAAAAAGGGGGGGTGTAGTCCATTTCAAAAACAAGCCTTTGAGGCTATATTCCTGAGCAAGCAGAGTGAATATGTGAGTTAAATACAGTCTTCACGTACACTATCAACAAAATTACGAACAGGTCTTTAATATTGTCTCGTACTGGCCAGTCTGAAACCCAAGACCTTTCACAATCACTGTCTAACCTCTGTGTATTTTGCTGGTTTAGTCCATTAGGAAGAGGACTTGGGTTGTGTTGCCAAATAAATAAATTCCCTCCACTTAATTTTCTAGGTCCTGACCACTGGCATGAAATGTACCCGAATGCTAAGGGGGACAACCAGTCACCCATTGAGCTTCATACTAAAGACATCAGGTACGATCCTTCCCTGCTGCCATGGTCAGCTGGTTACGACTCTGGCTCGGCCAAGACCATCCTGAACACTGGGAAGACCTTCAGAGTCGTGTTTGATGATACTTATGATAGGTCAAGTAAGTATGACACTTAGGTAGAGGCACATGGAGGTTTTCAACGTCTATACTGGCAAAATCTGATTTATGACACAGGAACAGAATTAATGGGAAGAAGGAGCACTTCATCTCTGAAAATGGAGATGACATTTGACTTTGCTTTAGTCGTGAAGAATTATATTTATATATTGAAAAGGAATGTCTCACCCTCGTAGCTTGGTCACTTTGTTGTTGCAAAATGGCCCTATGCCCAAGCTAAAAGTTGACAATGCATTCCTGAAATGGAGCTTGATAGGGCAGTGATGGCAATGAATCCAAATGAGCATTCTTCAGACGCTGGTGGCCTGGAGCTGAGGGTTCTTGTGCTTCTTGACCGTGGTCTGGAGAGTGAAGCTTCCATTCCCAAGTTTGGCAGAGATTCCATTCTACAAAGCAAGAAATATAACAAAGAAGCAAAATAAGCACTTTCTTCCCTGGTGCCTGGGAGGGGATCAATCCAGGGGGCAGAATAGGGCCATTGTATAGATCAAGGTGACTTGACTTCAGTGCTTCAGCAGGGTTCATCTGAGTAATCCTTTTTGTGAGTGTCTTTGAAGTATCTGACAGTTGCTTCTTGAGCAGTATTTGCATGTGTGTGAAACCGGAAAATCTCATGTGTTAAAAAAATCTCTATTTCACCTATACTAGTAAGCAAATCAGTGAAGTAACAAAAGGCTAATTAGAAATGTTTTATTTCATCGTGAATGAGGTAAGGAAGAATCTGCCTTTGATGTTTTGGTGCTTGATGTACAACAATGCAATTTCTTATAACCACATTTCTAATAGAGTTCAAATTACCCTTAGTGAAATACATAAATGAATATTCTTAAAGATGCTGCAGTAAAGAGTAATAGAGTCGTAATTCTTACCTACTAGGAGGTTCCAAGTAAGGAATATGACAAAAATTTACATTTTCTTAAACAATGATTTCATGATGCTATCCATTCCTTTTTTCCCCTTCTGCATTTAAATCAAGTTCCATTTTGAAGGAAAAACGATAAAATGGTATCTATTTGGCTTAATCACACGAAAATGCCATTTTTGTAAGTAAATATAGTTGAATATTGGCAATCATATAGTTGGTTTCAATAAATTGGACTCATATGTCCAGATAGTAACTGTTCTGAGTGGTTGGACAGGAAATATCCAATGAATCACACCATTTCATTCCTATATGACCAAGTTCATAGAGGCCTAGCATTATTGTTTTAGATCTACACTGTGGCTTTCCTTGTGTGCCACTTAGTGTGGCCAATCCCCTCTAAAATAACTGCACTCTGAATTCTATTTTGATCTAGCATATCTTGCTAAATCTTGATATTAGGGTTTACGCATAGTTCCAATATCCTTTGAAAGATATTTGAACCTCTAAATCACTCCCCAGGCTGAATGAACTGAGACCAAATTAAGTGACTGAAAGGTATTTGTACAGCAAGTTAAAATTAATGCTACTGAGAATTATCTAGTTTAGTTGTCCCCGTTATTTATTCCCTGGGGAGTTTCTGAAATGCTCATTCCATCTCATTTGAACAGACAATCTAAATTCTATGTGGATGAAAGTTCTTGATTGTAGTCTTAAAGAAAAGTGTAGTTGAAAGCAAGACATGGAGAAGGAATTCACATTTGCTCAGTGATCACTGTGCAGGCACCATGATGAGCACTTTAAGGTGCTTAATCTCAGTTAATCCTCACAGTAGCTCTGAAAGTTTGGTGTTATTATCACCTTCTTAGAGATGCAAAAATGAGTTCAGAGAAGTTTAGCAACTTGCCTGAAATCACACAAGTAGCAAAGGCTGGAGTCAGGACTGGAACCTAAGTCTGTCCAACTCTCAACTGCCCATTCATACCACACACACGACTGACCTGTTCTTTGGATGTATGCATCCTTATTGTTCAGCTATTGTTTTAATTTTATTTTCATAAGTGTTAAAATGACATTTCAAAAATAATAAAACAAGGAACTAAAGAAGAAAGACAGGAAAGAAATATGATTTATTTTGATATATCCCAAGACTTCATTTTGTGAGGAGTCCAGTGTGCTGGGGCATGACACCATCTGCCCAGCAGACTGAGCACCTTTCGCCCATTGAGCCTTGGCTGCAAGAGCTCTTATTAAAGTAGGGCAGTGTAAAAGAAGTGTGAATTCGCTGTTGACCTAGCTTATCTGAATCACAGTGCTGAGAGGTGGGCCTCTCCCTGGACCTTACCGACTTCGCCAGTTTCATCTTCACTGGGGCTCCTCGGATGATCATGGCTCCGAACACTCCGTGGATGGAGTCAAGTACGCAGCGGAGGTAGGAGGACTTGCCCTAATCCATTCTGGGTCTGGCAAAGTGAAAACTGAAAAGTTAAAAATAACAACCGCAGTGAGGAAACATCAGCCACTGCTTTTGCTTTTGCTTTGCCCTGTAGTTGGGAAAGGAGTTGTAGAAGCATACACTGAAGCTGCCAAACATTCTAGGCTAGACAGTTGAAAGGGTATACGTGAGTTAACATCGTGCATGAAGACTTCCAAGGTTATATTAAGAAACTGGATAGCTGCTTAATATTTAAAAGGCCAGGGTCCTGAATGGAAGTGGAAAGATAAGGATAGCTAGCACTTATTAAATGCTTACATGTATTAACTCATTTGGTCCTCTCAGCAACCCTATGAGATACGTTACAGATGAGGAAAATGAGGCACAGAAAACTTACACAACAAAGTCACACAGCTGATGAAAGCTAGACCTGGTGCTCCAGCTTATGCAAATTGGCCTCAGAGTTCATCATCTTATCCAATGCCCTATATGGCTTCTTTTTAAAGAATGTAGTGTTTTAAAAATAGCATTTAAAAATTCTGATTAATGCTCATGTTCCAATCTTCTAATGAGGATGTATTTATACCCTTCATTAAAAGACTATACATGTAATCTTATAAAAAATTATATCTCTATATATACAGATGGATATAGATACACAAATACAATTTATATGAGCAAATACTACTCTTTGTCTCAGTTAACCCATTAAAGAAAAGCATGATTTGTAGCTTAGATCAAGGCATCAAATTACTAGGGAATAAGACAAGCCTCCAACACGTTCTTTCTATAAAGTCAAGCCTGTTAGGTATGGCAATTGCCCTGACGGTGAGGATTAATTCACTTTTTCCTGCCTCACTCTTTTCCAAGGGCAGGCTATTGTCAACATAGGGGCTGTGACAGGAACCTGGAAGCACATTGTGGACATTTTTCTTAAGCAGAGTCATTAGGCAGCTTAATTTTTGGTTAAATTAAACTCAAGGAAACCCAAAGTACTTCACTGTGATCATTCCATTTCTCTACAGCCAAACTGGAGAGCCAGTGGCAGGAGTATCTTCTAGACAACTTCCCCCACAAGAGGGGAAAGTTTAGTGTATTTTTTCCAGATGTGTCCAAGGCTTTCAGTTTGACCTTTGCACATGGAATTATCTGACACTTTTGATCTTGAATAAAATGTTTTGTAACTGCTACAAACTATTGTATTCTCTCACCATTCTATGTAACTCAGTATGGGAACTTTGACTAACTTTAGTGGTGCCCATGTTCTAAATTAAGATAAGGTTGAAACCAGGATCTAGAGTCCTGGCTGCTAAAAAACGGTAAATAATTTTACATACTTTTTATTGGAACCATTGAAAATTTCTCCAAAGTATTGCTTATTGTTAGAATTTTATCAACTTCAATGAGTGTTCAACAACCCTAGACTGTACAATTATTGAGTTTGTTGTGGATAATTTCATACCTATTTCCTCATTCCAGGTATTTACCTCATAACCTGTTTTCTATGGTTACAGCTTCATTTGGTTCACTGGAATCCACAGTATAACACTTTTAAAGAATCTCTGAAGCGACGGGATGGAGTTGCTGTGATTGGCATTTTTCTGAAGGTAAGGTAAAAATTGACCATATTTTTTCTTTCAAAACTTAGTTCCTCATCAATGCTTAGGATAGCACGAGTTTCATTACCTCCTTTTGCTTGCAGTGGGGGGCTGTGGTGGTGGGATCTCTTCTTCCCTGTATATATGCATTTTATTATTCATTCAACTAATCAAGTTATTTCTGCCAAAACCAGCTCAAAATGTTTTGCTTTTCTCTAAAAGTGCACTTTTTACATACTACAGTATCCCTAGCACTTCTAAATTTTCTCAAGATGTGGGATGTATATGTGTGTGTTGGGGGCAGTGAGGTTGGGGACAGAGACTTTGAGGAAGCTTATTACATGGGCTGTGAGGGCGGGGTGGCATGTGTTCATTATTCTTTCCCACTACTCCATCTCAATTGCACTGGAAACCAGAAAAGCCAGTGTTGGAAACCATTGTGATGCCAAGTCCCTGGCTCAACATCCTTCCAGCTAAAGGTGGCCACCACTCACATGATCCCAGGCTAAGATAGCACATGGAATGTGTGTGTTGTTGAGCCAGCCTTGGTTTAAAGAGGACTTAGTGTCATTAACACATGAGTTTGGTGGTAACATAATCTAGATTTTAAGCCAGAGGTGAAAATCTGGCTTCTTTCTTTTTGAATGACCTAATTTGTCTTAGGTTCTGAATTCACTGGGTCAATTTCAGTGCTTGAACACAACACAACAGGAGGTGGACTGGATCTGAGGGGAAAGACAATGAGTTTAGTTTTGGATATACAAGTCCATTCAAGCTCTAATTATATTAAAAAGTGGGATGACTTTGCAGAGAAGGTCAAGGACATAGAACTAGATCAACATGCAATTTTGTGGTTTTGTACTTCAGAGGCCTGGAGTCCAAGTTTAGATCAGAAAACATATACTCTGAAATCTTGTGGGGAGGAAATAAACTTATGTTTTTGCTTAGTATGAAACATTCTGGCAGATTTATAAACACTAGTTGCAGATGGATGGATCAAAATCAGTTTTTAAGACAATCCATGAAGAAGGAAAAAAATATTATACTTGGGTTTCTATTTTCCCTACAGATAGGACGTGAGAAAGGGGAGTTCCAGCTTCTCCTTGATGCATTGGACAAAATTAAGACAAAGGTAAAAAAAAAAAATAGTAATTTTTCCTCCTAAAATATAAAGCAAAGTATGTCAATTTTCTTTTTTACATTTTCAAGTATATATTTTTTCACCTAAAATCTCTTACTAAGTTTGATGGATATGCTAAACATACATGTAAAAATAAATGTCGTTATGTTTGCATAGAGCAAATTCACATACATCAGTTTATTTAAAGGTCACAACCAGCCTGTCTGATAATTTCTTTCTTAGTAAAGTGGGTGAGAATCCTAGAAGTTGAGTAGCCACCCCCCTCCCCCCAACACACACACACACACACACACACACACACACACACACACACTCCCCAAATGCATGCATGCATATGGTCACAGAGGTACTAAATGTCAGCCAGAGCTTGTCTTGATTCCTGGTGTTGCCCTTTGTGGGCAGCACCTATATACTTTAAATCTTTTTTTTTTTTTCCTTTTTGTCTTTTTTACTGACCGGTAACGGGATCACAAACCTCGGTGTCGCGCCCGTACCGGGGACCAGCAAGGGGATCGCAACCCTCGGTGTTGCGTCCGCACCATGCTCAGCCAGTGAGCTGGAACCGGTCTCACATGGGATCCGAACCCTGGGCAGGAGCTCCGATGCGCTCCCAAGCGGCACACTCTCCAGTGTGCCACCGGGCCGGCCCTATACTTTAAATCTTAACAATACACTCTTCTAATTTTACAGACACATTTTAATTGTTGTTTGAGACTATTGTAATCAAATTTTATTAAGTTTTACCACCAAAGAAAGTATTTCGAGTACAACATTTAATAAAAATGTAAGCCTGTTTATCATCAAGAAGAAAAACACTAATTTATATGAAATAACTCTGTTGCATTTTAGATATGAGTTTCACCTTTTTCTAGAGAGCTGATAGAATTATAGTTCTAGTCCCAGTTAAAACAATAAGGAATACAATATCACAACGATTGTGCCAGAAAAATTCATAACATGCAAACCTGCTTCCCCCCTTTGACCTTTATTTCTGAAAGGTCCGTACTTTGTTTAAAAATTTCATTTTCTCGATTGCACTTGAAATCCATTTTCACAAGTAAGAAGGAGAGACCCTTGGTGTGGCCGGGGTGCATGTGCCCGCTCACTGCGCCTGCGCGCCACTCTCTCCTAGGGCAAGGAGGCGCCCTTCACGCACTTCGACCCGTCCTGCCTGTTCCCCGCCTGCCGCGACTACTGGACCTACCAAGGCTCTTTCACCACGCCGCCCTGCGACGAGTGCATCGTGTGGCTGCTGCTGAAGGATCCCATCACCGTCAGCTCCGACCAGGTAGGCGGCAGCTGCAGAGCCTCGTGAACACACAGACTTACGTCGCTGGTTGTTAGTAAGATTCAGGTGCTAAGTTGAAACTATATAGCTGCTGAATGGATGCTTACGGAACGCCACGACCAGGGATTCCATAGTTTGTCCTGGTTAATGTCAACCAACCTGTTCAACTTTCTGAAATGTGGCTTCCAGAGGGTACCAGAATAAATGCAAATTATTTAAAAGTGTTTGTGATACTGAACAACGACTGAATTTATAATCTATAGACACCTAAGGGTAGATTAATATGACTGAGTCTTTGTTAAATTTGGACTTCCCCAAATACTGAGCATGGTTAAGAGATGGGATGGTAAATACAGGCCTTGGGGAGGAGAAGGGATTTATCAACCTTCTCTAGTTTTATAGATAAATAAGTTGAGTCTCGGAAAGGTTAATTAATTTGCCCATGATCATGTACCCAAGTGCAGGCTCCTAAGTCCAGCTCTAGTCAATCTGTTTCCAGTACCTCTTGGCCACTCTTCTCAGGCTTTCCTTCTTACTGTTCATCTAAAGAGTGTCCTAGTAACATTTATTAGAGGGACTTTCAAGGAAAAGTTGTTTGGGAGAAATTAAGTGGGCAGGGATGTGAAGAACATTTTAAAGCAAGTGAACAACACAAGGACTCACAACCTAGAAAGTGAACGTCTACTCTAGTAGTAAAATCAGTTTACCAGTATGTGTCCCTTGCTTAAGACAACAAGGTATTTCTGCCAGTTGTGGACTCAAGTACATATTGGCATTTTTATGAAAAGATAGATCAGATCTAATGGTCTTGTTCATTGGTATAAATATTTTGAAAGGGGAATGAAACTGTCTCAGAGAGAAAAGCTAAAAACATTTTAATATAGAAACATAAGTGTTATTAATGAGAATTTCGTATTTTATTATCCTTTAAGAAAAAAAGATCAGTTTAAAATTTAAAATGTAGCATGAATCTCATTTCTTTCTGCTCTTTTAAAATAATTGACTTCATAAACATATAAAGGCCTATTAAACTTATCCTTATTTGCACTGATCTTTTAATATTGTCATTATCTCCTGCATAAAGTGTATATGTCATACTGGCCCCTCAAATCAAAATAATTGCTTCAAAATTCAGGAGGAAATGATTTTGACCAGAGGGCATGGTGATCCCATATAAAATGAAGAAAAGCACTTTTACAAATAAAGAAAAAAATTATATTATTTAGGAACTGGTAGCTAAATTGCTCTGGACGGAACATAGGAGGCGAGTTTTGTGGTTTGCTTGTCTTGTTTAAAAAGCCAGTGATTTCTAACTCTTTGTTGTATGGTGTGTCCGCTTGGTCTAAATGTCTTGCTAACAATCTGCCCCTGCCCCTTGCAGGTGGCCAAGCTGCGGACCCTCCTCTCCAGTGCTGAGAACGAGCCCCCCGTGCCCCTTGTGAGGAACTGGCGCCCTACGCAGCCTCTCAACTGCCGGATGCTGAGAGCCTCCTTCAAGTGAGGCAGGTGGATCTTGCCCTCTTCAGGAAAGGAAACCTGCCATTGGAGAGCGTGGTTCCTTGCCTCCTTCTGGTGCTCTTTACTCCAAGTATATTGCATTTTTTCCACACTGAGCAATGAATGGGAGAGATGCAGTCACCAAGCAACCAAAGTTACTTTTGACAAGATCTAATATGAAAGTATGAATTTCACATTTGACTTTTGAAATAATCATCTTTTCTATAAAAGTAACATTTCTAGTAAGGTTTCAAAGAAGAAGAAACAGACATGGAAGAGTAAAGATACAGAAAAATAGCTATGGCATTATTTTTCTGTCATCTTAAATGTAAAAGAACTTCAGTTTTTCTATTTTCATATTATGAGTTGTCCATCTTAAAGAAATGAGTAATTCTTATCTGTAGGAGTAGAAGTGTATGAAGATCATGTGTAAAAATTAAGCATGAGCCAGAAATTAAAATGACTATGCACACTAAAAATTGAGATGATAATGTGTTTTAACTCTTAAATAACACCAACAAGAAGTCCATCATTTATTAGAATTGTAGCTAACTACTAAGAGTCCCTGGTTTTGATCATCAGTGAAAGGAAAACACACTATCAGGAGTTTTAAAAAATCTGACCCAGTATTTGAATTTCTTCTTCATAAAGATGGTTGACTTTATTTTGCTAATTTTCTTTACCTGAAGGAGGGCCATTTATTTTTAATTTCATTACTTTTATCTTTGCATGCCTGTTAAAATAAAAATTTTCTCTGATCTCTTTGTAATTCAAAACTGAAATTAATGATTCCTATAACACAAAGGAGTGAATCACAGTACTGGAAGTAAAAGCAATTGTACTGATCACAAAATCAATAAAAACAGAATGCAAAAAAGTTGTGTGTTGTGTTTTTTATTGAAAAGGCATTGGAAATGACAAAAATGGAGTAAAATTAAGAACAGCAAACTTTGTAATTTGGTTTTATAACTGAAGGGTTAGCGATAAAGGATTCAAATTCTGAGTTTGGATGTTACATTTCTCAAGGAGGGCCTGAGGCAGTTAGCAAGGACCTTCTGACAAAATTGCAAATAAGAAGAGGAATGTGTGACCATATATCTGAGAGTGTGAAATAGTTTCCAGAGGCCTCAAAATTGGTTTAGGATTTGGGGTTCAGACTATGCAATGGGTGCTACTTAGGGACACAGAATCAAGTCAGACTGTAGCTCTTATGTGCATTTTTTTTTTTTTTTTATGCATGTTGGTGCTGGACTGCAGAAGTCCATATATTTAGACCTTTAAGACATTTGCTATCTTTAGACATAAAGTCTAATTTTTCACTTAGTGGCTTTGACATGCCTTTCATCACTTCACTGGCTAATATATTAACTCACTTTAGAAATGGCAGGAATAAAGGAGCTGGATGATTAGATCAGTTGGTTAGAGCATGGTGCTGATAACACCAAGATTCAGGGTTCAATCCCTGTACCGTCAGCTGCCAAAGAAATTATAATAATAATAATAAAGAAAGAAAGAAAATGGCAGCAATAAGTTCATTATCCTAAGGAATGAAAATGGTATTGGGTCAGGAGAGTCCTGAGATGCCGGAAGTCAAGTTATGTGATGAAGTCCTGTGAGGCTGAAGTTATTTAATAGATTACCACTTGGGTGAAGTAAAAGCAGGTTGGTCAGTGCAAACTGGATGTGTTAATTAAATCCCTTGAAATTAGGAGGTGTGGAGCTTTGATCATTAGTGGTAATACACAAGTTGATTCTCTCAGGGTACTTAGTAATGCTTAGAGCACTGTGAAAAATGTATCCAGGATTCACTCTGTGTGGGGGAGGAATATATGATGTAATACCAGCTACAAATCTTTATTCCAGTACACAGGCTGAACAAGCTGGAACTGTTTTGAGGGAAAATGCCCAGTCAAGGGAAGCTATCTCCCTGGGTCATAAGCTCCATGAAGGCATGGATACGAGTCTTGCACACTGATGTTCACCTATTGACCAATACTGTCTGGCACATAATAAGCACTCAATCAGTATTTGGTGAATAAGTGATGACGTGAGTATAGATGAATCTAGGAAAAGTACTCATCTTCTTGAACAACATACTACTCTACATGGTTAATGTTAATACTGATTTTTGCTCATCTGAGTTTAGATCTCCTCAGAATGTGATCTCTTTAGCTTCAGGTGGGAGCTTTCCAATAGAACATATTTCCCCCCCAGTCTGAGCTATTGCCGGTGCCCCAAATTATCACCCAACTTAAAACTTCCTCCTAACTTTTCCCCACACTCATAGTGCTGTGTTGTTATAAATGCCCATTAGGATATTGAAGAGGCACTTGTGTCCTTATTCAGTGGGGGGATCATTTTCTAATCATACTCAGGCCTCCAAGCAATTGCACATCGCGCATACAAGCCTACAAAGGGGCAAGGCCAGAAGCTGCTGTGGGGAAAGATTGCAGAATTTGCCAATTGTTGCTCTTCAGGGTACAACCATTGCAAGTATCTTAACATTTCAAAATAGGGCAGACATGAATTTGAATTAAGTGTTTCATAACCAGATGATCATATCCTTAAAAGCCCATGAATGGGGCAGCATCAATCAACAAGAATTTACTGACTATGCAGTACTGTTAGGTTTTGAGGTTGCGAATATAATTCCTACCCTTTTAATGGGGAGACAGGATATACTTATGAAAAGGCAAATAACTGTTCAGGACCACTTATCCAAAATGCTTTAAAATGTCTAATCAGAATATTTATGCAGATGAATGAGAAGTATTCCACACAGAGCACACAAAACTGCAGCTTTTAGCATCTAACTATAATCGTTTATATAATTAAATAAATATAGTTGAAAATTATCAACAATAAACAAGCTTGGATACATGCGCAATTTTTAAAAAAATTTTATTTTATATTTTTCAATGTACATATTTATGGGGTACAATTTGTTGTTTCTATGCATGCATTTATTGTATAATGATCTAATAAGAGTAGTTAGCATATCTAAACATTTATCATTTCTTTGTGGTTGTAACATTAAAGATTCTCTTTTCTGGCTATCTTGAAATATACAATACAATATTCATAGCTATTGTCACCCTACAGGAGCAAAATTAATATGTCAGTTATTCAAAAAAGAACTGGCTCAAATAAAATTGGGATGAAAGAAATATATATAGTACAAAACCGTCTTAGAGACCACACCTAAGAAATTAACAAGGTTTTAGTTTCTTTCTAACACCTTATTTGTTATTAAAGAGGAACACTGGACATGAGAAAAATATATTATTGTAGCAGAGGAAGAGTGAGAAGAGGTAAGAAAAAAGAATGATAACTGTGGATGTCAGATTTTTCAAATTTCAGATTTAATGTATTCACATTTAATGATTGTTAAAAACTCCTAAGATAGTACTTATTAACTTTAATGCAAATGAGGTAAAATCATGTTTGCATGTTATTTTCATTTACATCACTAGATGGCAGCAGAATATTTAAAAATTTCATATGGGTCATTAGATGGCAGCAACATAACTACAAAAATTACTGATATTTAATACTGTACCTCAAGGATAGGTACAATCAATTATGTATCAATAAAAAGAAAAAATGCAAAGAAAAAAAAGACTGAAATTAAAAGTCATGCTCGATTGATCTCATCCATGGCATGATCTCATGCAATGTTGATTGCAGAGGAATGAGGTTTTAAAATTTTTTTTAACTAGCACTCTATTTCCTTTTCTCAAATGTTTCCATAATAGCTTATAAGCTATTAATATCTTATCTACAAAAATAAAAAATAGTGAAGGATTCTTACATATTTTTGAGAATCTTGATAGCCATAAATGAGGTCTAAGGATAAAAGGATAGTAGTTACTGAACTAAAACTTAAATAAACGAAAAAAAATATTTTAAAACTCTGTTCAGTATCCAGGAGGAGTAGGTTCAAGTCACACAACACTTGCTGGATATGTGGCCTCAGTCAAGTTAATTTCTCTGTGCCTCAGTCTCCTTATCTGTAAATAGGAATGATTACAGTACCTGCCCAGAGGGTTATTTTAAGAATTTAATAAGTTAATATATAGAAATCACCTTAGAATAGTCATTCTGACATAACTCTCAACAGGAGTTGACTATTATCTTTTGTACATTAATTTTACTTCAACCAAGAAAAATTCTAATGGCTTATCAAATACCTAAAATCATGTTTCTTTCCTTATGTATCTATTAGTAACATTACAAATCCATATCTCGTCAATTCAGTTAATATTTTAAAAGTCACCTCTGCTTGTTATTGGGGGAAATGGTATTTAAAAACAACAACTACAACTTTTGTCTCGTATATGTAGCTGGAAGAACAATGCATGGCCACGCTACAAACCAGCACATTGCTATGAGGGTACTTCACAAACTTTGTGGGAAAAAATAGAATGAAAACGTCAGGCTCTTTTACCTGCCCATAATCCTGCTGACTGGGCCAATTGTAGAGCTAGGACTGGGTCTGAAGCTCACAGACCCCTCAAGCCTGTTCACAGACTTAGTCACAAACCCTTCACACACCAGGTTGGGTCCCTAGACCTCTCATACACAGGTCTATGAGCTAGGTAACCAGCCAAAAGGTCCTTGGAAGCCATAGGTTTGAGAGCACAGCCACGCAGGGCCAATACCCCAGGCAGTCAATGCCGGCCTGGTGTCAGTGCCGCCTATGTGCACCAATTCCACCCACACACAACTCCTTTACAAAGAATGCCCTGCACCACCCCCAACCGGACCTAAGGTGAGGGGGCCTGATTAAATTATTCTATTTTCCCAACAGAAAAAATAATACAAATCTTCCTATGGACTTTTTGAAGTACCTTTGTAGAAGAGATGATTCAGAGGAGGACCAGAGAATTTTTCTTGAGGAAGCTTCTGCTCCAGGAATTCTGCACCTTACCTGAGGAAGCATATGCTTTGCAAAACATCCAGAAAATAAACCAAAGAGGAAAGGTGAGAGAACCATAATGTTCATTTTGTTCAACCTTGACTTTCAAATGTTGGCAAGATGGAGTCCCTTGGAGTGCAGCATGAAGTGGGAAATCCATTTTAAGAGTAAACACAGAAAGTCTTCTGCCATCAAATTAATTTTGAACTTGTCCAGGCATGTCATAAAGTCAAAATTCTGAATGAGAAGTACAAGTCATCCTTGGGAGGAGAGTTAAACAAAAGGAGATACAACAGTCTAGGCATAAAATTTAGGATCAAGGGATTGACTAGAAATTAATGAACTACTTTAGAAGTGAAGGTGTTTAGTGGGTGCAACTACCTGACAACTTGACCAGGTAGCTAATCACAGATAATCAGCAGGAGTAAGAGCGAGTTTAATGGTGCAGTCACAAGGGACCAAGTGCACTGCAGTGGCGTAAGACCCAGTGATTTAAAAGCTAATTTTAGCCAGGTGAGAATTGACTCTGTGCAGTAAACAGGGAATCAGATTCTCTCTTGTATTTAAATCACTCACAGGTAGAGGAGCCTGGAACCTCAGGGAAAATACTTTGGTCATCAAATATACTTATTTTCTGTTCCAACATGTTCCAACACGTTCATACATTTCTCATACTTATTCAACTTATTTGAAATTCAGATGGCTCCAAACACATTGTTCAAGGGAAACCATTCCCTGAAGGGTGCCTGACTCCCCTGAAAGTATAATACAGATGGAAGAGTTTGAAAATCCTGGGCTCATAACTTTCATACTTCTACTCCTCTGTGTGATCAGTTTTAAGGGAGTCATAAGGAGCACCTGGATAGATTAGGACCCCAAAGGGGGAGGCCAGCCAGGGTGGGACGACTGTACCAGCCAAGCAGAGCTGATGTGAGAGCAGGGACAGTGCTGGGAGAAACTGAGGACTGAGAAGGCTCTGGTTCAGTGAACATACAGGGGTTTGAGTTCTTGCACCAGGAACTAATTTAGGAGAAACAAGAATCCTTTTAAATTCAATCTGTAATGTACATCGATGTGTGTGTGTGTATGTGTGAGAGAGAGAAAAAAAAAGATAGAGGTCAAGAACATGAAACTTATAGTCAATAAAATTTAATATTTATTCCCATTTCTGCCACTTATCACTTATTGACCATGGAAGATTAATTGTAAAGTCTCTAAGGCCCAGTTCATTTATTTGTATATTGAGGAAAATAAAATTTGCTTTGGAAGGCTGTTGTAAAACTTAAAGAGGATAGAACATGTAAAGCGTGATGCATGAAACATCACAAACCTTATTTAAAAAAATAGCTCTTTTAGGGTTTTATTTGTTTGTTTGGTTTAAATTACGGTGTGTTGAGTGGAAGAGAATGTGTGTGGGGGGCGAGGAGTGAATGGTGGGTACAGGGGGTTTTATGAAGGAAGGGACCTCATCCGTCTCATTGCACTACTAGGCGTCAGTACCTAACACGGTATCTGGAACCTAGTCAGAGCTCAAAGATACTTGTTGAATGATTGGAGGAATGGATGGATGGATGGCTAGATGGGTGGAGGGATGCACAGATGGACAGAAGGATGCAATGAGACTCCTAAAACTGAATGACAGTCTAGGTCCATGAGCTGGTGGGAGCTGTGTCCTCATCCTAGGGGGGTTAGAGACTGGCATCTCTGAGCCTTCTTGGAGGAATGTACAGGTATTCATTGCTGCAACCCAGGCTTCGTTGCAAAGAAAGCATGAGTGGAAGAAGAGAAGTAGCTTTACTTTTATTCAAACCTTATCATTTGCAAGTTTAAATTTTAAAAACTAATTTAACTTTATAGAGGACACATGTTTTAGGAAATATAAAAGAGGACTCTCCATCTGGGTATTTGTCTCTTAGTGCCCGTGCTTCTGATGTGTAAATTGAAAGAGGCTGGTGATGAGCCCGACATTAGACTCTGATGACACCAACTGCCGTGATTCATGCTGGTGCTTGAACCTTCCCACTCTCTTTTTTCCTTAAGTTTGCTGTACTTTTCTCGTTAGTGATTTCAGCTCTCTATTTCATTCAGTTTTGTGTGAAGATGCTTATAGCAATTCCCCATACATAATAAAGGTACCTCTTCCTACCTTAAATGCTTGTTTCCTGGTCATAGATTAGCAAGATATGATGCTTTTGAAAATTCAATAAGCATTTCCAACAACACATTCCCCTCCACCCTAGCCAAATAGATGGTAAATTTAGATAAATTTCCTGTCCCCCACAAACAACACAGACATATATACCATATGTATAATCAGGTACTTATAATCACTGCCTAGAACTTACTTTATAACATAGCTGAAAAAAATGTTAAACGTGTAACGTGTGTAAACCTCTGTTTGGCTATTATAAGTGCTTTTTGTTTAAAGTATTATTTTAATATTTTATCAGAGAAGGTCTAATTTCTTCCTTTTAATTTGTTTTCTTTAACAAAGGGCTGTTGTCAGGATTTGTGTGGTGTACTAGTCTCTTGTCTTTAGGAGTTTAATTCATATGAAACATGATTAGGCCCTGAGAGGGAGGGGAACGTGTCAGAGGGATTATGAAACAACCACAAGGCACAAAGAAGGAAGGTTACAACTTTTTAGAGGGTAGTGCCTTTAGCTTGGCAAAAGCATTCAATATTTGTTATATAATTTTTAAAGTATAAACAAATGACTAATAAAATCTCTCTTTTTGTTTTTTTGTTTTGTTTTTGCTTTGTTTTTATTTTAATTTATCAATATACAATGTACTTGATTTTGGTGTCCTTTTACCAATTCCTCTTTACCCCTCCCTCTCCCCCATCTCCCCATCAACATCATATCTGTTCACTTGTCTTAACAAGTTCAAGGAATTGTTGTGATTGTTGTGTCTTCTTCCCCGTCCTCACTGTTTGTTTGTATATTTATTGATTGATTAATTTTTAGCTCCCACAAATAAGTGGGAACATGTGGTATTTCTCTTTCTGTGCCTGACTTATTTCACTTAATATAATTTTTTCTAAGTCCATCCATGTTGCTGTGAATGGCAGTATTTCATTCTTTTTTATAGAAGAGTAGTATTCCATTGTGTAGATATACCACAGTTTCTTTATCCACTCATCTGATGATGGACATTTGGGCTGGTTCTAACTCTTGGCTATTGTAAATAGTGCTGCAATAAACATTGGAGAACAAGTATCCCTTCGACATGATAATTTCCATTCCTCTGGGTATATTCCCAACAGTGGAATAGCTGGGTCATATGGTAGATCTATCTGCAATTGTTTGAGGAAACTCCATACCATTTTCCATAAAGGCTGCACCATTTTCCAGTCCCACCAACAGTGTATGAGAGTTCCTTTTTCTCTGCAACCTCACCAGCATTTATCATTTACAGTCTTTTGTATATTAGCCATCCTAACTGGAGTGAGATGGTATCTCAAAGTGGTTTTGATTTGTATTTCCTGAATGTTGAGTGATGTTGAGCATTTTTTCATGTGTCTGTTGGCCATTCGTATATATTCCTTTGAGAAATGTCTATTCAGCTCCTAGGCCCATTTTTTAATTGGGTTACTTGTAAAACCTCTCTTTTTGAAATGGTTTTATGTTTTACAAAAGTGTTTATGTGTCAAATATGGAAGATATATAAGTAGATTAAGGAACTACTTAGAAGTATCATAGAGAAGAAAAACATAGAAAGAAGAGGGCAACCTTCAAACATTGCTCAAGAAAATTATACTAAATGTGGCTGTGGCTGCCAATGGGAAGGGTTATCAGGCATGAGCACAGTGGGCATGAAATACATGTTAAATGGTGATATCGGTGCCACTGGAAAGAAGGAACAGATAGCAGAACCAAGGGTACAGGAGACCTACAAAACACGGCTCTGGCTCGCCAGACTTTTTGTGGATGATGCAGCACTGGGAGCACAGTTCTTCAGCATGATCCCCCAATGTAGGATTGAAAAAATAAGTTATATACACACAGTATTGTAGCATTAAATATATATATATATTAATATATATTAATATACAAAATATAAACAGAGTAGACATTTTTAGAGGGTGAAAAAAATTAACTACAAATAGAAGTTCTCATATTTTCTTCCTGCCATGGAGCGGTTCTAGCTGTGCACTGTGAAGTGTGTGCAGGGCCTCGTGGAGACAGCCGGTGCGGAGCCCGATGCTGACAAGATCAGGCTCCAGTGTCTCCTGCCCGCCAGTCCACTTCGTTCTGCGCTGTGGCTTCTCACCACTCACTGTCTCAGCAAGTGGGGACTATATGAGAGTGGAAATAGAAGAGGATAATCCTATCACAAATCTTAGAGAAACGGTGTGAATAAGACCCTGCTGTGAATTGTGAAAAGAGTGGCACACAGTTTTGACTGGCCAGTTTTGATCTCAGGTTGGGTGGTTTTTATGAATGGGTTATAACTCTTTTAGATTGAAAAAGAGGGGAAAAAAAGAAAAAGAAGAAGAAAGAAAAATAATTCTATCATGTCATACATAGGTCAAGAGACATTTACTGTACTATTCTTTCTGTCCCTTAAAATATTAAGATGACATCATTTATTCTTTCAAATGTGTGTTATGTTCCAGCTCCTGCACTCAGCTGGAGAAGAGAGAGAAAGAAAAAAAAAAACAAAAACAAACAAAGAACAACAACAACAAAAAACCAAAGAGAGACACTAAGAGAAACATAGAAATAATTGTATAGAATGATTTTGAAAATTTTGTGTGAAGTGGTAAAAACACGTAAAACATGAAGCAAAGAAGTGTAAAGAAAATGCTATGGAGGTCCAAACATGAGCAATTTTCTTAGGTTATGTACTACTTCTATTTCTTTCCAAATCCTAATTTAAAGCTGTCCAAAACTTTCCAGACATCTTTTCACGCATAAAATATATTTCTTTTCTCCTTTAGAATTGACCTGGCTAAGTACAAAATGAGCAAACAAGAGAGGTATAAAATAGAACCATCTTTTTATCCATATATCTTATAGGATTGTAAAAGCTCTGGTTTCCACTTACATGTTTCCCATGTTTACAACAGTTTCCAGTTAGTGACACTGGTGAATCCATACTCCGGTTTTCATCAGGAGGAAAATCTTATTTGTAATGTCTACAGTCCCCCTTGCATGGAAAATGTTAAGTGCTCTTGTTAGTAAAAGGAAGTTAGAAATTCCCCATTTGAGGTGGTCATTTATAAACAAAAGAGAAGCTTATTCATGCGGTGAAGCTGATATTAACCTAATCAAGCTATTATGATTTGGGTAGAAAAGCCACCATTGGAAATAAGTTGAAGCAAAGTAAACAGACAATAATCTTAACGTGCAGAGGCAGGATTTTGTTCTTTTCTACCCAATCTAGTAAACAAAAGATGAGTGAGGGAATATTATGGGCAAAGCACTGTCCTGGGGCTCATATGTTGAATACATGCTTAACTCTTTCTGAGACCTTTTACAAAATCATTACCTTATACTCTTTAGGCTGGGTTTCACCATCCTGGTACTACTAACATTTTGGACAGAGCAATTTTTTGTTGTGAGGGGGCTGTCCTGTGTATTGTGGGATGGTTGTGAGCATCCCCGACGTCTACCCACTAGATGACAGCAGTATACCATCCCACCTCCTCCCTGCTGTAAAAAGCAAAAATGTCTCCACACACTGTCAACATACCCTGTGGGGCAAAATTGCCCCCTGTTAAGAATGGATGCTCTAAGAAGAGGTGAACTTTTAATCGTATTAGATCAAGTACTTCATGTGGTAGCTGTCCTGGAACACAAAATATTTAAAATGTACAATTTGCATATTTTTAGTGTAATTGTCCCACTTAATATTTCTTTCCAGCTCTGGTTGAAACTGAAACATGGTGACAATGTTTGAATTCAATGTTCTTGACTACTCTTAAGAACCAAAAAGATTTAATTACTTATGGAAAAGTTAAATGTTACTAGTTGTCATGAAAAAACAAAGGCTAGGAACTACATTCCTAAACTGTATTTAGGAACTACATTTTTAAAAGTTTGAAAAGCAGTTTGAATTAAACTGTTTATTGGATGTAAAGTTAAGGCCATCTCCTGCCACTGTAGTGACTGGAGGGGGTTTGGTAGGAGACCCTAAAACATGATCAGCATGCTGGTATAACTTTCTGTTTTACAATGCATTGCTATTACAACACCACAAGAGGCAGGTGCCTTTATAAACTCCTTCAGGGCACTTGGCTGGTTCTCAAGAAGACCACATAGCAGATGCCTAGGAGCTCGAACTCTGGAGTAGGCCTGTTTGGTCTCACATCTGGCTTTATCGCTTTCTAACTGAGTAACATGGGGTAACCTGACTTACCTCAATGTGTCAGTGTCCCCAGCTGTAAAGTAGGGCTATGGGAAGCATTTCAGAACAGCATTGGTATATAATCAGTTTTCAGTAAGTGTTAGTTATTTTCATAGAGTAGGAACTCAAAAAAATGTTAATTAAATAAATGTGGATTTTTTTCCATCCAAGTTAAAGAGACGGAAAACCCAATCTATTATTTTACAATGGGAAGTATTATAATGACAATTATAGCATTTATTCAATAAAGAAAATGTGCCAGAACCATATCGGGCATCTTCCAGACATTTGTTTACATCATAATGCTCTGGAGCTAGAATTTTCCTCCCAATTTACAAATAAAGTAAGCAAAGTTTGGAGGGATTGCTCAGCTTGCTCGAGGTGTGGCAGCAAGTTAAGTATTGGAGGTAGAATATAAACTCGGGTCTATTTTACTACAAAATTGATTCCCGCTTCACCATTCCCTGCTTCTCTACTACAAAAACAGCAATCCTAACAGAGCAGCTAGCAACATACCAGGCATCATGCTATTTCACATTACTAATTCACACAAATTAGTTGATTTAATACCCTCGACCACCCTGGGTATTTTTATTACATTTCACATATGAAAAATATGGCTTGGGGAGGTGCAATGTCACCCAAGGTAACACAGTGGCTAAGTCCTAGAAGCTGAATCCAAACTCACAAACCTGGTATTTGACCACTGCATGCTGCTGTGTGATGCCACCTCCCATGCTACTGTAAAAGAATGCCAAGAGACTCAGAGGACAAGAGTGAAGCCAGATCCACAATTAAAGGGGCTTTGTATGTCGGGAAAGTAGTTCGGATCTTTCTGTAAAGGTAGTTGTCAGACGGGTAAAAGCAAGGCTTTGGGGAACAGCATGATGCATACTGGGAACGTCTACCAGTTTCCTCATCTATAAAATAAGGAGTTGGACCGGATCATCGCTAAACATTTTTTAATTCTAAAATGCTAAATTGTTTCAGTTTGTATCATTCCCTTTCTTACAACCTCCCAGAGGCTTCCCTGTGCAATTAGTACAAAACCCTTCCCTGGTATCAGGCTCTGCAAGTCTCTGCACGCTGCAGCCCTTGCCTGCCCTTACTACTTGTCTTCTCTTCCTCAATCACAGTGCTCAGGCCACAGGCTTTTCTGTTCTAGAAACTTCCTCGCTCAGGGCCTTTACATTTGCTATTTCTTCTGCTTGAAATGTCCTTCTTCGGATCTTCACTTAGTGGTTCCTCAAATGTTGCTTCCTTCAATAGGTCTCCCATAACCACTACACCTAAAAGTCACATCTCCTTTTTCGTTATTCCCTATCTCATTTCTGTTTTATTATTTTCATACAAATTATTACTCTTGGAAATTCACTTTTATTTGTTGTTTGTTTATTCATTTACTGTATACTACCCCCATGCAGTCCCTGTAAGTTCTGTGAGGGCAGGAGTCGTGTTGATCTTGTTCATGGCTGTAGAACCTGTGCTGAAGCCTGTCACATAATAACACTCAATTAGATTTGTTGAATGAATGAATGAACAGATGACTCACCTCGTGCAACCCACATAGTATATGAAAAATATTAAGCACATAATAGGAGCTCAAAAAAACATACAATAGTAATACTAAAACTCTTATTGACACTGTGCGAAATACTTTACACACATAATATCATTTGGTCCTTACTAGAACACTGTGAGGTAGGTATTATTGTTATCCTAGGTTTTCGTGTGTTTTTTTTGTTTTTGTTTTTTTGGCAGCTGGTGGTTGAGGGGATCTGACACTTGACCTTGGTGTTATCATCACCGTGCTCTACCAAGTGAGCTAACCATCCAGCCCCTATTGTTAGCCTAGTTTTACAGATGAGCAAACTGAATCTCAGCAAGATCAAGCAATTTGCCCAAAGTCATAGAGCTAGTAAATTAACTCAGATTTAAAGTTAATCTAATTTCAGCACAATGATATTTGTTAACTGGACTGGTTTCTGTAAAGTAAAGCTGCTATTGCTGCCATTTGGATTATCAAAACTTCATTATTTCAAAGACCAATGTGTGAGTAGCTATTACCTGTGTCCTGGGGCTCAGGCTAGGTAAAGGGTCGTAGGTACCTAGGATACAGAGGTAGGTAATGCAGTACAGTTCGCCACCTCAGGGGGGTCAGTTTAATAAGAAAAACAAAATATATAAGTACATGAACCAAACACTTCTTGCTCCTTCAAAAAAGCTCTTGCTGCTAGAGGCTCTTTCCTCCTAAATTATTCCCTTGAGCCTTGCCCGGGTTTTTAATTTTGCATTCATTACATCATATCCTAAATGTTTAGCACTGTCTGGGAAGAATTGAATAGCCATTATTTACTGAGTGTCTTCATGTGGCAGGTGATGTACATATACATACTAATTGAATCCTCATAACAACCCTGAGGTGGGTGTCTTTATTCCTACTTTACAAATGAGCAGTTACCAGCTTACTGGGGAGGTGGATTACAATCAGATGATTGCAGTACAGTGTCTGGTTAGGATGCAGGTGTCACAAACACTGTGACAGAGGGATGCATGTGTAAAGAGCCATGGAAGCCTTAAGAAGTAAGTGGCTCTTAGCTTCCATAGACATTTTATCTAACATTATACTTGTAAAAAATATAAAACTATTGGGCTTTTTATTAGCTTTTTAGTTAAAAATTTAATAAATCATGTATATCTCACTTAATAAATCATATTAACAATAGCTTTCCTTTTTTTGGAAAAAAGCAAATACTTTTTCATTTTATTTGATATTTTCACCAAGATTAATATTTTAATTACTACATTAGAAGCACTTTTATTATAATTGAAACACAGACTCAAGTTTTTCTATATTATATTTTTCTGTTATATCGCCGTTTTTTTTTTCGTGGGGGGGGGCAGACAGAGGTACCTTTCTGTGTGGTTTCTTTATTCAGGATTATTCTTAAATGAACCAGTTCTTCCCTCTAAAAGAAACACAGGTACATGACAAGATAAATACTGTTTTTATTTTAAAAAATCTAATATTAGTCTCTTACAGTCAGTGAATCTTCACAGCCTGTTAAGAATGCCCTCAGTAAAATAAAGTTAAATAGTGACTAATTTATGTGCAGGCACAAAGCCATCTCTATGATTAAAAAAAAAACAAACCAAAACTAGCTAGGAAATAAATGCTAAAACAACTTCTATAATACCAAAAACTATGAATAGAAAAACACTGGATCTCTCCCGAGTATACAAAGGTGAGGCACTTTCTGCCCTGAGGTGGGCATGTGACCCTCTTCCTAACAGCAGCTCTGTGGCAGAGGGTCTGCTCCTACTGAGAATCAGTTCATTTTCTAGAATGGAAAGATGAGGGAATATCCATATAACAAGAATCCATTTGATGAACTGCAGTTTAGCGATGTCTGAAGTTTTGGAGATATTTATACCCAGTATATGCTCCTATTCTACTCACAATTCAGCTTCACAGAAAACAAGAAACAAGGATTCCTGCTTGTCAGATGATCTAACTACCTTCGCAGAATCTTTAGACCCACTTTACACTCATATCAATATCCCCAGGTCGAAGTGAAAAGTCTCACAGCAACTGAGAGACCAGTCCTCCTTCTGAGTTAAGCAAATATTTTAAAACTGTGCAAAAAGTCAAAATTATTTCACTGGGCCCCAAGAGAGACTACACAGTTAAAGAGGCACAAATAAAAAGTTCTTAATTACCTACTACATTTTGTAATGGTCCTAGAAATCTAAAATAGCCCATTATTACTCTTTGCCTAAGAATTCACTGTGACATCAACCAAAAGTCACACATACACAGAGGTACACAACTTTCTAGAGTGTTAGAACAAGAACAAGTAAATCCAAAAATGAATGTTTGTGTGAAATTGCCTGAAATAAATAATAAAACATGATTTTGAGATCAACACTGCAAAAATTGACACCAGTATTATAATCTACCCTTTTATTTATCTATAGATTTTAAATCTGAGTAATGTGATGTCGAGGCTTTTATTTGACATCATGTAAAACTGTATCCTGCTACTCCAATTTTAAGTCTAATGCTATGCCTTTAAAGACCGCAGAGACCACAGAACAGAACCCCCCTCCTTTTTCTGTGGCAAATGCCCTTGTAGGAAATGAATTCTCTCCCCACCTCAAAACAGCCTGACTTATCCATTAGGCACAGTAAGTACAGAGTTGCAGGTCCACAAAACTTTAAGATGTCCACGAAAATGTTTTCTTTTAAAGTAAAAAGTTGAATGTTTAGGTCAAAGAAAATGTTTAAATATATAATAGTGTTTATGCAGAAGGGACCCACCAAGGCAAAATGCCCAGGGCCCACTAAAGTCATGATGCTGCCTGGCCTCAAAAAATGTCCTCTCTATTACATTTTTTGAGCGATTTGCCAAGTATGACAGATGCCAAATTTCCTTTTTGTTCTCATCTCTTTGAAAGAAGTACTTTCTTTTACCTGATTCTTCTATGAAAAGTGACTTTTTAGAAGTTTTAGTTATTTTTAAATCAATATGTACTCCAGTAGGAAATCTCCTCTCCCAAAGTTAATTTTTTAAAGAGAAGAAGGAAGGGGGAAGGAGGAGATGAGCCTTTCATGTGAGGCCCTGCTAGCCTGCAGCGAAATGCTATCTCCCAGGCTGGCCTCAATGTGGGCTGCGGGCAGAAGGGACGCGGGCGCTTTATTCCTCGGCCGTCCAGTAGAGGGCGCGAGGCTCTCAGCACCCGGCGCCGCTCGCTCCCCAGCACCTCAAGGACCGTATCCCTATTTGCCCCAAGGTCAAAGCTCTTAACCGAGCTTGCCAGTCCCAGGCCAGCGACACTTGAGTGAGCCTTCCGAGCAGGAGACCCCGGGGCGGGTGGGGCCGATGGGGCGGGGCGGGAGGGCTCCGAGGCTCGGGATGCGCTCACAGTGGGGACAGGTGATGAAAGGCGCCGGGAGCCCGGGTCCCGAGCAGTCAGCGCGGCCGCCAGACTCCGCGCCCGGGAGGGGGAAGGGGGGCGCGGACACGCCGCAGCCCCAGTCGGA